AAGCACATACATCAGTGCTGAGTGCTTGAAAGTGCTCAAAAAGGAGTAGGAAGAAGTGGGGACTTATAAACTCCTACCCCTTTCTCCATTCAGTGTTTTGTGTGACAGTTGTTGATTTTTCTATATGTTGTGTGTAACATTACAATATATGACGAGTTCTATACATTTGAGTGTTTAAAGATACAACAAGATTAGATTACTAATTATTAGTGATGGTCTCTGAGCTGTTACTTTTGTAGTTTACTATAAAATTGCAATTATTTATCTATATGATTGAAATGATCATTAGTGGCTAAATCGCATTTGGTACAAGAGATCTCAATGTAGTTTGATCCTTGAAATTTATTCAAATTGAGCTTTCAGTTTTACCCTTGATCAGCATATTGTTTGTAAATTAATTGCTTGTATAACCTCTTGAAAACATAGATATTTACACAGCTTTTTAAATCATCGTTTAGACTATTCCATAGATCAACTCCACATCGTGTAATACACATTTTTTTCAGTGTTGTCCTGGAAAAGTGTTTTTTAAAATTTTGAGTATTCCTTAAATTATAGTTCCCTTCTCTATTAGTGAACATACATTGTATGTTTTCTGGCAGTTGTTGACGCCTTGCTTTGTACAATAGTTGAAGTGTTTTGAAGTTAACCAAGTCAGTGAACTTTAGTATTTTGGATTTGAGAAAAAGCACATTAGTGTGTTCACAATAGCCTGCTCTATGAATTATTCTCACAGCTTTTTTCTGTAATTTGAATAGTGGATCTGTGTTAGTTTTGTATGAGTGTCCCCATACTTGGGCCCCATAACTCAAATAAGGCAGAATTAAAGATGCATACAATATGTTCAGAGAATGTTGGTCCAGGAAATGTCTTGCTTTACAGAGAATTGCAATACTTTTAGCTATTTTTGATTTTATATTTGTGATATGGGGTTTCCAACATAACTTATTATCAAGAGTCACTCCCAGGAATTTAAATGTGTTTACTCTTTCAATTTCAATAGTATCAATAAATATTTTAGTGTCAGATTTGACATCTTTATTTCCAAAAATAATACATTTTGTTTTCTTGATATTAAGTGACATTTTATTAATTTCAAACCATGTTTTCAGTCGTTTCATTTCTGTGGTAACCAGTGTTTTTAGTTGTTGTAGATCGTCTCCTGAGCATGTTATTGTTGTGTCGTCTGCAAATAGCACAAATTTTAATTTTGTTGAAATTAAACATAAATCATTGATGTAAAGTAAGAACAATTTAGGTCCTAGTACAGAGCCTTGAGGAACTCCGCAGAGGATTGTCTTGTAAGATGATTTATGGTCTCCTATTTGTAGATATTGTTCCCTATTAGTTAGATAGGATTTGATCCAATTTAATGCAATCCCTCTAAAACCATTTTTTTCCATTTTTTCTATTAGTATGTTGTGATCAATGGTATCAAATGCTTTTTTTAGATCGATGAATATCCCTATCACGTATTTCTTCTTGTCTATGTCATTGGTTATGTTTTCTATTAGATCAACAAGAGCGAGTTCAGTGGATCTATTTTTTCTAAAGCCAAATTGGTTGTTATGTAGTAGTTTGTATTTTTCAATAAATGTGTCCATTCTACTTGCAAACAGTTTTTCCAAAATTTTAGAGAGCTGCGGTAAGATTGACCAGTAATTGAGTCCCGGACAATATTTGCATTACGTTTTGTAATTACGCATGCGCAAGATGGCGGACGCATTTGTTTGGAGCCTTTTTTGAGCTGCACGTTTTTTATGATTTATTTTTAAACTAAGTTTCTTTTACTGGTTTTATTTGCCCTACTCGACGGAGTAAGCGGATTTTAACAGACTGCATAAAAAAGGATTACTGTCACTTTTAACAGGACTGTTTATCCGTCTTTTACCGGTAACCAGCCTGCCCACTACACATCACCATGGACACCGATGCTCCCCCCGCGAACTCATACAAACAGATATACAAATCACAACTGGCTTCAATCCTCCCATCCAAACCTGTAAACACCATGACCCCCGAGGAACTTCAGCGCACTGTCAAAGAACTATCCACCGAACTCATACATAAAGAGAAACTTCTGGAACATTTCATGGACATATCATTCAAACAGTCACAGCAAATATCCCTCTCCGTACTCAGACACTCACAACTCCACGACACTGCACTCTGGGATCCAATCGCCTGTCCTCACCCCTCATCATGCTCTACCCCGGTGCTTACCTCACGCTCCCCGGTTGCAGCTGTCCCTCTTGGTGCTCTTCCCTCCTCTTCAGTCCCGGAGCCCGCTGCCCATACCCAGAGCGGCGTGGAGCAGAGGCCTGGAGGCCACACGACATCCACGGCGTCCTCGCGCCGCAGGTTGGTGGAGGAGGCTGTGCGCAGACGCTCTGGGAGCTTCCCACGCTCTCAAACAGCGCGGGGCTCTCCGGGTGTCACGCAGGACCAACTGCGGACCAACCGCAGAGAACGTTCATATTTTTAAGAGTAGGCTCAAGACGCACCTTTTTAGAGCAGCTTTTGATTAGTATTTATTATCTATTATTGCTTTTTAATACATCTATTTATGTTTTTAGACGGATTATATTTTTATTTATTTTATTATTTACTATTTTTAATTATTTATTGTATCTACCCATTTACTATTGTTATTATATTAGGCAGCTGCCATTTTTCTTTTTATTTTCACATTCTATTGTTCTACTTTCTATTGTATTATTGTATTGTTTTAGTGTCCCCAGTGTTTCCTCTGGAGGAGCCCTCTGCACTGAGAGCTGGGGTCTGCTGTGGCTTCGGGGGTCTGGCTCTTGGATCCGGTGGGGGTCTGGGGCCTCCTCTCTCCTCTGGGTCCTATGGGGTCTGAGTCCTGGGCCTGGTGGGGTCTGGGGCCCCTCTCTCCTCTGGGTCCTGTGTCGTTCCCTGTGGCTGCAGCCGGCTCTCTGCTCCTGGTGCAGATGGCTCCTTGGATGGCGCTTCTTCAGCCGGTTACATCTGCTCCCAGCCCCATTTCTTTTTATTGTTTTACCTATTTTACCTGATATGACTTTACACTTGTGTATATGTGTGTGTGTGTGTGTGTGTGTGTGTGTGTGTGTGTGTGTGTGTGTGTGTGTGTGTGTGTGTGTGTGTGTGTGTGTGTGTGTGTGTGTGTGTGTGTGTGTGTGTGTGTGTGTGTGTGTGTGTGTGTGTGTGTGTGTGGGTGTGTGTATTGTATATATAATTATAAATGTGGTTTTGGGCTGGGCATGTTGGATTGTTTTTAACTAAACTGTAAAGCACTTTGTGTTACACTTTTTGTATGAAAAGCGCTTTATAAATAAAATTTGATTGATTGATTGATTGATTGAGATAGGCCGGTAATTAGAAAAGTCATGCTTATCTCCAGTTTTGTAGATTAGACAGCCAAACTGACACCAAAAATACGAATAGTGTTTTACAAAGACACAAGTTACTGTTATTATTATTGATATTATAATTATTAAGTTATGCTGTAGTGGACAAACTTAACATTATGTCTAAAAGCACCATGAATTCAGTGTACCGTAATTTATAGTGTGGAAAACTAAGAACGCCTAAGAAGTAGTTTTGTCTACAAAGCTCAAAACAAAGTAGTGTAATTCTTGGTTTGTTCAGTAATGTTGACTTTGCTCAGAAAAATAGTGCTTATTTTACCCCGCATAGTTGCTCTCCTTTTTTCACTGTTGGTTTTAAATCCCAGATAAGAGCGAACGAAACAAACTTTAATCCCAGGTATTATTGTTCCACCATTCATCACACCGGCTAAAGCTTGTTTTCTTTGTAAGCAATTCCAAGTACCTCCATTTTGCAGAATTATACACAACACAACACAACTCTCCCAGCTTTAGTGCCAGCGAGTTAAAATATTGGACTTGACAGGAATGGGCTTGTGGAGCTGCTTGCTGGGAAAACCTCAAACCAGTGCCAGAGGAGGCTTTAGCAGGATCAACGTCTTGATTCGACCGGAGGAAAAAGGCGAGATTGGGTTTTCATGTCATAACAGATGCTGTGCGGCCCCGGGAGAACCATGGTACCCGTCATGGATCCTCAACGTGCCCCACTGACTGTACACGACTCTGTGCTCAATGAGACAGTTCATCTTGTGATAAAGGGGATGAAACATGCAATATTGACCTTTCACAGCATTTGACCATGGTATAGTGGTTTTCTCTTGTCATTTACACACTGAGAGTTGGTTCTAGATCCATTCATGGATGTTTGAGTATGTCGCTGTCACCATTGACCGCCACCACATCAATAGGCCTCTGCTAAGCAACCGTTACAGGGGATGTCTCCTACTTCATTTGTATTTCTTTTTTTAAAGATTGCACATATTAGACAATAAGGGTTTAAAAAAATAAAAAAACACAATCGTTCTCAATGGCATCCCCATCACCTAAGATTTGCGGGAGGAGAATAGTTGGACCAATGGCAAGGGGTATCAAGGATTTAAAATTGTTCCATGGGGTGAAAATGGGCATGTCTAACCGACACTTTCTTTGGAAAAAATATCTCTGACATTCCCTTTTTTCCATTGACTTACATTGGACAAGTACAACAGACTGCTCCCCATACAACACATTACCACACTAACAATTCATTATCACAGGTACAATACATTACAACATCTTACGACACATACAGCACCTTACAACACTTACAGCACTTTACAAGTACCTCATTATAAAACTCATCTTTGAACATCCTTTGTCTGAGCGAAAGCTTTTGCTGTACTATTATTGTAAACATACATATGTTATAGGTCATAATGTTCATGTTGATGTAGGGAAACATGTGAATGTATACACTGCTCGAACAAAATAGCAAAGCAATAAAATAATTGGCAATTTCTTGTTAACTGAAAAAAGTAAGATGTGTGATCTGAAAAGTGCAAAGTTTGGACAATTTGGATGACCAATTTCTGGAAAATCTGCAAGTAAGAAGTGAAAACCCAAAACACTGTGTACCTTATCTTCCTAAACCTAGAGGTGGAACTTGAATAGTACAACTTGCTTCAGTGAACGGTTTGGAGCCGTGTAGACATAGAAGCGAATGATGGAATGGCAGGTCTCGCGGTGAAACAAATGGTGCGAGATGATTGCATTACGGTCGGGCACATAGGAGGGCAGCTGCAGGGAAACTCGGTTAGCTGCAGCAGACAAAAGGACCCCCGCGGACGAGGAAATGATGTTTAACACTGAGACAGAGATGTCATCGCCCGTGCTGAAGAGCAAGGGAGGGGTGAAGGGCAAAGAGGACTCCACAGCTGGGGATAAGGATGAATAGAGAGATTTGTGATTGAATGTGAAAGTGGAGGCTGAGGGAAAGACCTCCATATATCTCTCAATTGTAAAGATAAGTAAATGTGGATTAAAGCAGGGAGATCAAGTGGAAATGTCGTTTGACTATAGAGCTGCTGGGCCTGTAGAATCAGTCTCACTCTTAAAAGACAAATTGTGATAGAAGGTCAGTTCCGGTGGTCCCGAAAGATTGGAAAGAACTTTATTGTCGTACTTAAATTTAATGTCATAATTTCAGATGGAGGGAAGGGTCTAATGACACTGCTGTGGGTGATGTATAGTTTTTACGATATGATCCATAACCTATTATAGATGGATTACATAACTTTGAAACTACAAAAATAATGATATAATTGTATTTCCATATATAGTATACAATACAATCCATGTAACAAGTTCCTAACCCTCAATAGTTATGAGCCCTTATGAGTGAAAAAGTCAGAATAAAAACGACGCTAGTCTATATTTTCACTTTTTGCAGTGTATGAAAACACAAAAAGTCCAGTACTGTATTTTTACCCCCACATTTGTCTCAATATTCATCTAATCTAATGTTTAAACCCTGTAATTCTAACTTATATTTCTTGACAAGACATTGAACTTTTACCATGTGGATAGATTCAAGTCAATTCTACAATGGTTCATGGTGCATTTACGGTACACTCACACAACTAAACTAAGGCAAGGCAAGGCAACTTTATTTATATAGTATTAAATCTGTTCCAGATTTTAGCAGCATGAATCTGAAAAGCAGCCTCCCCATGTTTAGTTCTGACTCTGGGCACTAACAGGAGTCCAGTCCCTGTGCTCCTCAGAGTCCGGGCTGATTCGTATGGGACTAACCAAACCCGACCACTAGAAGCCTTCGAAACACCAGTGTCAAAGTAAGCTTTGGGAAAATCCTCAAGCTAAGGTGGTCCTGAAGAGGCACTGAAGATGATGGATCGAAGGGTGAGAATGCATTCCCCTCACGAGCGAGCAGTGCCTGGGCATAAGTGGAAGAAATTAACTGGCCATTGAATGTGTAACCTCAATACATTTTGTTAATTGCTGTATAAAATGCTTCTGCTGACACATCGTTTTAGCAAGGCTTCTCACAAACAGCATATAATATATACAGTATAGCTCGAGGTTGGCCCACATGCAAACTATTGTGACTTATTGAGTTTCAATCAGAAGTCAGGGTTTTAAAATAGACTTTTTTTTCTCACGATTGTAGTGGTAAAATCCTATATCTTTTCACCAGAGAGTGAACTCAAATCCTCTTCTTTCTTCCGCTCTTCTTTCTCTGGTTTCAAACTCTGCTCTGAGCTCTCCTCGCAGTCTCTCACACGCCTCATGCTTTATTGATCGTCCTTTGAGTCTAACTTTGATCAGCGAAGGTGAGCGAAGAGTTAATTCTCTCCTCTTTCTCCCCATCTTTTCTCTGCGCCGCTCCGGATCAAAAGAAACAAGTTCATTAGAGACCTGGGCGGATCGTCGGACCATCCATCAGCCTGGCGTTTTGTTCGCAAAAATCCCAGACAAGTTTGTAGCGTTGGAAAGGTGAAACAATTCAGCCTTCTTCTTTTGATAGCGACCTGACCTTTGACGCCGGGATGTGACTGGGGATTGGATTACACAGACAGCGGCACAGGAGCAGAAGGAAACGTGACGATTTGTTGCAAGCGGCACTTAGAGCAGAGAGGCGAACCAGCGGGGAACATAAAAACACATTAGGAGGCGCCACGGGGACAGTTTACAAGGATTGTCTTGATGCAAGTCCACACAGAAGATCTTTCCTTTTGCAAACATATGATCATCAGAGGACAAAACATGAGAGCAGCATGAAAATACCACCCCAAGGTATAGGGCTGGGCTCTGGATTTTATTTTCTGCTTTGGACGATTTAGATTTGAAATTGATTTTCATTAAAGTCACAAAAGACAGACTATTTCTTTATCTTCCCGCTCAAGATTCAAGTTTAAACTATTTGCAATTTGTTTTCCCCAATACATATTATAAAAAAGTCCTGTACAGACTGTGCTGATATTGCAAGTATAATTCATGTGCTGCTGGAACTCTCACAATATCCTTCATTCCATTTCATGATTTTCACATTTTTCACAAATAAGATTTTTTCAAAAGCCAATTAAATGCCTAAATTTGATTTATTGCCCAGCCCTACCCCAAGGACTATACTTTTACTTTCATGTTTCTAAAGCTTCCTTTAATCATAATACTGATAATTCAGTCTTGTTAAACACAATGTTCTTGCTTCAGTGAGGAGGAAAAGAAAATGATTTCAGATAACAGTAGCCTGCAGGTGAAACTCTGAAAAGTAGAATAGCGTTCAAAATCCATCTACTTGATAGATTTATGAAGTAGATGGCCTTTATGTTGATAATTGGTCCACAGTGTGTACAATAGAGATGATCATTTATTTTATTAAAGTATAGAGTTGTGCTTTACTCTATACTTTCTGTGTTTTTGGTGCATCTTGTGTGTATTGTAACTTCCTTCCCCCCATTCTATGTATGTGACAGAGTCTGTAGACATGGATATCCCTCAGGGGACACTAAAGGTCTATCGAACTATACATAATATTCACTTCACTGCAAACTTAATCTTAAAAACCCCAAATAAAACACCTTGGAAAATCAGAATATTCTGAAAGAAAGGCTTGGCATAATGTAACTTTCCATGTAATGAGTCAATATCATTCCAGTTTTACCATTGTTGAATTGTTAATGAGTTGAATTTCAGACAATGTAAATGTCCCAGTGTTCAAATACATAATGTGTTTCGTAGGTTATTGCAGTTTGTTTTGGATGTTCTCCAATAGATGGATTGCATTATAAATGTATTGTAAAAGCTTTTCTCAGAGCTTTAATGGAACATATGTGCGTTTTTTCATATGCTTATAGTTGTTTTTAGCTTCACCATGACTGCCAAACATCCATCTGTAAGTGTCAGTGTTGCGTTTTTTGTTTTTGGATTTGAGCTTCTTGACTGTGCTTGAACATGCCCACACATTTCATAACAGATATCTTAATGTGTCTGAGAATGAGCTGCTCTTTTCTCTGCATTTACTCTTTAAATATATATTGTATTGTATATTGTATATTATTCAAAACCGGTTTTGATCTTGAACCATGAGAATTTCCAAGATAAAAATAACTCAACACTGCTCATGACCCAATCTTGACCGTCAGAGTCTTGTAGAGTCTTGTGTGGGTGAAACTGCTTTCAAGTCATTAATACAACATAAAACCACATTTATTTAAACATGTAAGAATCTATCAAATTGTAATAATATTGAATGTTGGGCGACTGTTTAATTCCAGCCCTAATTATTTATACATTTAAGCCACTTTATTACTTAGATAGTTGTGTGTAGTTAGTATGACCTGATTTTCTCTTCCCCAAACCTTTTAAAAGTATCAATATACCCATCTATCTATCTATGTAACTAGTGTAAGAAAGGAAGAAGGAACTAAAATATATCAAGGTGACACTGTGGTTGGTGCTTGCACATTAGGTCTAAATGTAATGGTGATTTGAGGCTTGGATGCGCCAGTAAGTAAGTAATGTTTATTTAAATAGCGCATTTTACAGACCACGCTCACCCAAAGCGCTTTACAATGTTCAGAAACCAGATTAATTTTTCCTTTCACACACGATAAGGACAGAAGCAGGACACATGTCGCACACTGGCGCATCAAAGCCCCCACCCAACACCATCCATTCACTTACTCATTACATCCATGCCTATTTTACATGGTATGCAAAAACCGGAGCACCTGGAGGAAACCTACGCCGACACAGAGAGAACATGTAAACTCCACTCAGAAAGGCCCTGTTCGAAACCAGGACCCTCTTGCAGAGAAGCGAGAGTGCTATCCACTCAGGCACCAAGTGTGTTTGGCATCTCGCTCCCCTGTTGTCAACGTATGTGTGGAGTGATTGGAAACATTTCAGGACAAATGGCTTTTTGTGACCTTGGTCGGTGAAATGCGTTATATAAATAAAGATTACTTACTTACATACCAAGGTTAAGTGCTCATCAATTAGACAGTGTTTGACCTGCTTGTATTGTACACCGGTCCTCTGTGGCTCACTTCCTCTCGGCTCACCTCCTTATTGTGTGTTTTGGCACATAGCTTGCACTCTTATTGACCCAGAGTGCATCACCCTAAGCCTTTGTTTGTCCTGGGTATTGGCAGTGCTCCTGGCAGCTCCTCTTCCACTGGTCGGACTCTCCAAATGTGCCTGTATTGAACGGTTTCACCAGGGTACAGGCAGGAGGCCCTGACCTCTGCAACCTCTATTTACAACATTAATGACGGCCTATCGATCTCATTACGGCGCTGGACTTTATAGACAGCGCTGCGGTGGAGACGTCCGGGAGTTTGTTAGGTTTAATGAATCCGATTGTGGACGAAGTCAGAGAGGACAGTGCATTGTTTTTAATTAACACGGCAGCCGGTGTAGGGAAGATATGTATTCTTAAGGACATTGCTTATTGTCCACTTACTACAAGGTGCAGAAATACAGTGTAACAATGGCGGAACTGCAATAAAATGAAATTGCAATTATTTATTTTATATCCCTAAATCACAACAGATCAGATAATCAAACAAAGCAGCAGAACAAGGACCAGATCACAGGTGGAGGTTCACGGGTCCAATCATGCCATGAAACAGACAATGGGACAGCGGGTGAATAGCGATGAACAGACAGATACAAATTCTAATTCTAATCTTGAGAGAAAAGCACAAGCATCTTTCCTTTTCATAAACACAACCACAGCTGTTTTCCAGTCAGAATACTTTAGTAATGTTCAAATTAGATGGCTTATATAGTCAGTAGTCTTAATTTATACATGTTATACTGTAGGTGAACTAAGACTTAAAGTGGGTGTACCAAACTTGCAAACCAAAAAACAATGTAAAAAATCCACATATTTTCTCTCTCAAAGCAGTTTTGTTCTATCACTAATGTTCACATTCATGTTTTTAGACACTGAAGTGGAAAAGGCCGCTCTCAATCAGCCAATCAGCTCTCAGCAGATAGGGATTCACATTTGAGTTGAGTTTTGTTCACTTATGCAAGAAGTTTCTGTTGGAGCAAACCATACCTCAGCTTTAAGACCTTCCACCAGACTTATATAAGTGCACCTTTAAATCAGAAGGTTTTATTACAGCAGAGGGATTTGTTGCAGTTGTTTTTGCCTTGTCAGAATGTAAAATGACTTTCATCCCTGTATTACTCCTCCATCCAAGCATCCCTCCGCCCTTCTGGCTGTGCTCTTGTGGTGTGGGAAACACTCGTGGCCTAAAATAAACTTTACAGAGGGTTGTAAACGCTTGGAGTGATCAGTCGTTCCCTGCACCATCTGCCCTCCTCACACTCTCACATGCAGCCCACAGTCAGACAGCCTGTGAAAGGACACTCATACTTTCTCACTCTTCGACTTTTATTACTACAGCATTGCCACGGTCCTGCAATATTAAACTTGAGCTGTCAATTTTTAGTCCATTGTCGGTTCCATGGTTACTTCGACCAAACTTTGTATTGTCGCCTCTTCATGTTGTTTCAAACACAACTTTATTTCTTGTATTTCTATAATGCAGAGTTTGTGGCTGTGAGGTTCTAATGAGTCTGTAGATTATTCTTAGCCTAAAACCGTTTCCTCTCAGATATGGGTAATTCAAAATGTAGTGTTTGGGAAAAGAAGATTCATGGTTCAAAGCTTAAAAAGTCTGTTTGGCATAATTTTCATGAGGGAATGTATGGCTTACCTTAGAGTGGAACATTTTCACAGGAATACATGTTTTCAACATTCATTTTGATCCTGCTATGAACCCGCTTCGCACTTCCCCTTTTACTACATCCATAACCGTCCCCTTTGGTATTAACTTGTCTCAAATATTAGTTTTTTTTCTCTTGGTTCTCAGTTTACGACGAGCTATTTACATATAATTGGATCAAGGTTGACGACATCTGAGAGTGGATGTCATTGGCCGTGACGTGCCGCCTTCTGGTTGGTGTTAAACCAATGGCATCGCTCGGTTGATGTTCTCGTAAATGTGCTGAGTGTTGCTTTGCTTCATTTAACTGCGCTGTGCTTTAATGTTAATGGGGAAAAGTTCATGAGGCAGCAGTTGTGACGCCTGTCATCTGCTCATCTCACTTGGATGTGGACTCCTCTGTGACCTTTTGCTAATGCGGTTCCCTTGTAGACCTGGGACAAGTCCAGGTTTAGTCCCAGTTGGTTCCTAATTTTGATTATAAATCCATCCATTTTCTTCTACTTCATCTGTTGCTGGGTTGCGGGGGCCGTAGTCTAAGCAGAAAT